TTACCTAAAATACATCACAACACATGAGAGCCCTAGATACTCCATCAACAGTCGGAGAGCATAGGGTCTGGGAGAATGCCTGCAGCACCACAAGTTTTACTCAGAGATTTGCAAAACACTAACTATAGATGGAAAAATTTAACAGTAAACTAAAAAAGAAAATATTGACTGTAACTTTTGACCTTAATCTGCTTATTAAACAGCTTCAACCTACAAACAAGCTCACTGATCAAACTTCATCTCTGTATATCTGCAAAGAACAATAAATGAATTTAAAATTTAAAATGGTTAATTAAACAAAAAAAATCATGTGATTAAGCAAAAAGGGAAGGCTGGAAATAGAGCCTCATTTCAGAAATGTTGAATATAAGCTTGCCTGCGAGGATTCTTCTGACGCTGACCTAAGTCATCATTTGAGAGCTCTGAGAGATGAAATGGGGCATACAGGATAAGTGATATAGGTCCACAGATATGCAGGAGCAGAGCAAATTATGCAAAAACTAGAACACAAGCACCACATATCTCACCTGGTCTCTGTTGGGGATTGCATTCATTATTTGGTTTACCGGCATTATTCTCTTTGCTGCAAAGGAAGCGATTGTTAAGTTTCTTTTCCACTTTTTACAACCATAATCAAAAAATGCCTGCTTCATGCATAGCTGCAATATTTTACAGAACCAAAGTCACTTTCTTACAGACAAATTGTAATAACAAATGACGTTTATAGGTGAGAACGGATGACAAATCCACAAACCAGTAACTGTCGATGAAGACTGAATAAAGACATTGCACAAGCAGAACTCTCTCAGAAAAAGTATGCTCCTTAGACTAAACTTACAATAAATATCCATAAATAGCCAAAACAACAAAATGGATCCCTCAAAACATTTGCTTTTCGAGCTAAGCAACCAGTACAAGTTTTTCTTCGAGAGAAAAATATGGGTCACATTTGTCTTGACACTCCATCATGCTATCAGAGTTCACATATCATGAGTAAGTCATCGCAGAACAGAAAGTAGCGATATCTCCATTAAGCAAAACAAGGCAAGAGCACGATGTATTTGCAAAGGAATGAAAGAAACATGTGGAACAAGTATGATACGCACAAGCCAGCACGAAGAAGAATACTAATGAAACGGGAATATCCTGAAATGGAGGTGAGAATACTGACCTTGGAGCAGTAGTGAGAGAAGATATTTGCCCAGATGGGCGAGCATTATAAGCACCATCAACAGCAAAATATGGCGAACAGTATGTTGCACCTAATGCTCCAGCAGCCCCAGCTAAAACTGGCAACCTGACAATTGAAAACCAACATCATTTAAAATTACCCAATATAGGGAAAACCAGTGTATCAATATTTATGAATAAATGAACAGAGGTAAAATAATATACAACGATTCAGATGGAAAATATGGTTTCACTCCATAGACGTGCCATTCATCCCATCCACAACTGGGTAAATGATGGAAAATGCTTAAGTAATAAAATCTCCATATAGCACATGGAAGTTACACTCATCTTGACCTGGTCGCATTGGCAGAAAAGCTATGTTGCTCGGACTCTCCGAAAATGTCGCCGGGTGCGTGTCGGATCCTTCAAAAGTAGTGTATTTTTGGAGGACCCGACATGGGTGCCCCGGCATTTTGGAGAGTCCGCGCAACATAGCATAAAAGCTTACCATGTCATCTCAGAATTCCCCAAACCACCACCAACATATCCAGGAAAGGCCATGCCAACAGCAGGAACTCCAATGCCACCGCGGTGCTGTCCCCCGAATTGCATGACTGCAAATTCACAAGAGAGAAAAACTAAGTGTCACTGGGAAGCTGGAGGTAAAAAAAAATGATTTCCCTTTAGGAATATGCACCAATATAATTACCATAATGTACCAATAACAAACCAACATTCTTGATAAATATCACATGGCTCAATATAACTACAGCATAATCTTGCACCTATATAATGACCATAATCTATCAACAATAGACCAACATTCTTGATAAATATCACATGGCTCAATATAACTACAGCATAATCTTGCACCTATATAATGACCATAATCTATCAACAATAGACCAACATTCTTGATAAATATCACATGGCTCAATATAACTACAGCATAATCTTGCACCTATATAATGACCATAATCTATCAACAATAGACCAACATTCTTGATAAATATCACATGGCTCAATATAACTACAGCATAATCTTGCACCTATATAATGACCATAATCTATCAACAATAGACCAACATTCTTGATAAATATCACATGGCTCAATATAACTACAGCATAATCTTGCACCTATATAATGACCATAATCTATCAACAATAGACCAACATTCTTGATAAATATCACATATGGCTCAATTTAACTATAGCATAACCTATATCTATATCTATGCTAATAGATCGGAAACAGTCTCTCTGTCCTTCTAGGGTAGGGGTAAGGTTGCGTACATCCTACTCTCCCCATACCCCACTTGTAGGATTTTACTGGGTTGCTGTTGTTGTTGTTGTATATTTATGCTAATAGAAAAGTGGGATACCACTAAATAAAAAGTTGAATGACCAAATGCCCATCAAAAGTCAATGGACGTTTATGCCCCTTAAGAACTAAATTATTCATTCAACATTAATGTAAAAAAATATAAACTATAAAGTTTGTCTTCGAATTTAAAAGTTTGTCTTGAAACTTTAAATAATTTAAAATGGCATGTTTATGTGAAGTCTTTATCTTTTCTAGAGTAAACCTTTTTTAATTCCATAATGTTTATCATATTTTCCGTGACTTATCAAAATACTATACTGAATATTATAAAATTCTGAATATTACAATATTACCCAAAAGAAATTCACTTTTGGAAAATACACTGAATTATTTGAAGAATATAAAGTCGATCAACATTTCAGGGTTATTTTAGTCTATCAACATTTCACCTAAAGTGGTGGGCCAAATAATTCCCAATGTTAAACTACATTTGTCACAAAATGTTTTCTCACACGTACAATTATATGTTGCACATCAAGAGCTAGGGATATCAATGTCAACAACAAAAGTTCTGGCCATGATAGAGCAACCAAAGTGATGAAAGTAAATATACACCAAAAACAACATCCTCTCTGCAGATTCAACTAATATCCAATCATTTTGGTTCAAGAATTGTAATGCAATAACATTGACTTTAGATGCTGCATTGTTTCCCCGCCGATGACCTTATAATGAATCTTTTTACTTGTATATAATAATTTCCCAAAAATAAATTGAGTGAAAGAGTACTGCACGAACCATTCTCCAAGGGGCACATACAGATGATGTTTATTAAAGAATGTTATACGAATCATAGTAATTATAAAAAGGTCTTACCTGGCAAAAAGGTTGGTGTTGCAGGAAAGTTCTGATCGCCACCACCAACACTTCCAGGTGCACCCATAACCTGAGCTCCGCCATGCAGAACCGATCCCCTTCCAGTGCTCTGAAGAGTGCCTTTTCCTTTTGCAACCATAGCACTCTTTGATTTACTTGAATCCAAAGAAGATTCAAGCTCTCTAGTTTCAGAAATAGACTGTCCAGTTTTTGGGGGAGATGAACCTTGAGATCCAGTACCAGATCGCTGAGCAAACTGCTGACCAGCAACCTGGAAAGAAGGTTGTCCTCGACTTTGAACAGGATTTCTATGAGTAGAGGAGAGGTTTATTGGCTGAGAAACTCGGTTGAATTGGTTATTTATTACAGGAGATTGGTAGTTTACAAGTGGCATTGCATTAAATCCTCTTCCTTGGCCTCTCAATGGCTGAGATTGAGTAGGATTTATTGTTGAGGAGCCAGGAGGCAACTGCAAACCAGATGATGGTTTCGCAGCTACTGCAGTAGTAGGATCAGCAATATTAAGCTTGTCAAGGCTAATAGAATCACCAACATTCTTCCCTTGCACCACTACAGTTGATCGTGCAGTAGCAGAACTATCTCCTAAAACAGAAGGCTGAGCACTGCGGCTACTTGTCCCGGTTTGCAACTCTCTCTTGTCCGTTGTAGTGATTCCCTTAGTGGAGGAACTAGAGGGGTAAAATGGAGGAGAAGCAGAATTCAAGC